CCTCCCCCCACGAGCCACCACTGAAGTCACATGCCTTTTTTTGATGCACATGGATGAACTTATTCGCAAAATGCATTTCCATCCCGCATTATTTACATTAACTCTTTTTCGCGCAAGTCAAAAAACTCGTAAAAACTTTTTAACAAATTTTTTTTCCTGAAATTTGGTGTTTCCATCATTCATTTTTGATGCAATACTTCAAAATGCGCATAAAACAGGATAATGAAAATATAGCTATTAAGTGCTGAAAACTACAGTAAAGAAGCATCCACCACAAGACTGAAGTTAGTCACAAATTCCACAGGTTCTTGGTTTCTCTCAAGCTGTTGTGCAACAAATCTTATGCAACTAATCTCAAACTAGTCTCAACTACGAGATCTATAATCCAAAAATAGCTAATTAATTACGACCAAAATATCTTTGATTTAAAACTTTTTTGTACGACTCGTGTTTTCAGAAGATTGTAATGGATTCTGCTATTTGACAGAAGGTTGGTCAGTTCCTGTTGAACAGTGAAAGTGAAGGTTTCAGGAAAAAAGTGTCCAAAAAGGTAAAAATAAACATAAATAAACAAGCAGAAGCAATGTTGCTGGTGGCATATTTGTATCTGTGAAGCCAAATGTTGCTTTCAGCTCCTCAGAGTTTCCTGAAAGTTACTTCTTAGCTTTATTTATTCATTTGCTTCTATAAGTTCAGTATGTTTTCTGTTTTCAGAAGATTGTGATGGTTTCTGCTATTTGGAAGAAGGTTTAGTTCCACTACTGAGGAACAGTGAAAGTGAAGGTTTCTGAAAAAAATAAAAAAATAAATACATAAATATATAAAAAGCAGTGGTGTAACGTAACGAAGTAAGAATACTTTGTTACAGTACTTAAGTATTTTTTGGGAGTATCTGTACTTTACTTGAGTTTTTATATTTCAGCCAACTTTTACTTTTACTCCACTACATTTCCCCGAAGCATATTCGTTACTTACTACAAAATAGTCAGAAGTCAGAAGAACACTGACTGCAGGAAAACAGGTCTGATGAATCAGTGGTCTGCCGTCTGCAAGTTAGACTCCTAAAAACACCTTTGCTC